TATATATATATATATATATATATATATATATATATATATATATATAAAAAAAAAAAAATATATATATATATATATATATATATATATATATATATATATATATATATATATATATATTGTTTATTTGTTTATTGATTTTTTATTTATTTATTTATTTATTTTTATTTATTTATTTATTTATTTTGATTCACTTGATTTTTCCTCTTTAGTAATTATTATTTTTTTTTAGATTAGTTTCAGTTTTGACTTTAAAACTGATTAATCTAATGTATACAAGCAGGGCCAGACAGAATCTTCAGACATTTTTTGGCTATTTATGCAGAATGATTGTATAAGTGTAGTAGGTAACTGCAGTGTGTAGTAGGTAACTAAAAACCTAAAACACGAAATAAAAAATAACTACTAAACTAAAATTAATTGCAACTTTTATTTAAGGTTTACAATGTTGTTATACATATCTGCAATAGTTTATAAAAAATACTGAAATTAAAATAAATAAATGTATAAATATGTTAACTCAATAAATGGCTATAAAAACTTTTTGTGGATTTCTGCACGCACAGATTCTGTGTGTGCCGAGGGATACGCACATCGTACTGAATTGTAGACATGAGACCATATTAATTAAAGGTGCAGTAGGTGATTGTCTTCAGACACATGTTTTGTTGTGCTGGTTGAAAGTCTCTTCATATTCCAATAGTACTGAAAGTTTAACTAGGTTAAAGTAAATGATCTATATGTATTTTATATGTATTTTCAATAATATTCTCTGGAGTGTGTTTGTGTATGAAGACTTACAGTAGGATTTCCACACCGGGGGTCTGTACTCATCATTATCTGAAAGAAACAAAAACATAATGTTAATAAACAAATAACATAAATGCATGAAAAATACATTTAAAAGAGACAAAAGATCACATTTTTAGAAAACAAACTCATCTCTGAGCCAATCTTACTCATTTTAATAAAGCATTGCACATTGTGAAATTATTGTACTGTGTCTGAGCACTAATAATTCAGCAAATTAGCCTTAAAACAGAGAACTATTGCACTGTCCAGTGATGTGATACAAGTATTTAAAGGAATAGTTCAACCAAAAAATTCAATGTTTTCACTATTCGCTCACTCTAAAGTGTTTCAAAACTTTTTTCAGTGTCGAACACAAATTAAGATACTCTGAAGAATGTGGTAAACCTGTAACCATTGACTTCCATAGCAAGAAAAAAATAAAATCACCCTAAAGTGTTTCAAAACCTCTCTTTTCATTGTCAAACAAAAATTAAGATGCTCTGAAGAATGTTGTAAACCTGTAACCATTGACTTCCATAGCAGGAAAAAAATAAAATTACCCTAAAGTGTTTCAAAACCTTTTTTTCACTATCGAACACAAATTTAGATACTCTAAAGAATGTTGTAAACCTGTAACCATTGACTTCCATAGCAGGAAGAAATAAAATCACCCTAAAGTGTTTCAAAACCTTTCTTTTGACAGTTGAACAAAAATGAAGATGCTCTGAAGAATGCTGTAGACCTGTAACCATTGACTTTCATAGCAGGAAGAAATAAAATCACCCTAAAGTGTTTCAAAACCTTTCTTTTGACAGTTGAACAAAAATGAAGATGCTCTGAAGAATGCTGTAGACCTGTAACCATTGACTTTCATGGCAGGAAGAAATAAAATCACCCTAAAGTGTTTCGAAACCTCTCTTTTCAGTGTCGAACACAAATTAAGATACTCTGAAGAATGTTGTAAACCTGTAACCATTGACTTCCATAGCAAGACAAAAATAAAATCACCCTAAAATGTTTCAAAACCTCTCTTTTCAGTGTCGAACACAAATTAAGATGCTCTGAAGAATGTTGTAAACCTGTTACCATTGACTTCCATAGCAGGAAGAAATAAAATCACCCTAAAGCAGTGGTCACCAAACGTGTTCTTGGAGGGCCGGTGTCCTGCAGATTTTAGCTCCAACCCTAATCAAACACACCTGAACAAGCTAATCAAGGTCTTACTAGGTATAATTGAAACATGCAGGCAGGTGTGTTGAGGAGGTTGGAGCTAAACCCTGCAGGGACACCGGCCCTTCAGGACCGAGATTGGTGACCCCTGCCCTAAAGTGTTTCAAAACCTTTCTTTTTACTGTCGAACACAAATGAAGATACTTTAAAAAATGTTGTAAAGCTGTAACCACTGACTTACACAGTAGGAAATAATACTATTAAAGTCAGTGGTTACAGGTTTTCAGCTTTCTTCAAAACATCTTCCTTTGTCTTTAAAAGAATAAAGAAATCTCATAAATGTTTAATACACGTAATGGGAGAGTAAATGATGACAGAACATTCAGTTTTGGGTGAACTGTCCCTTTAAATGTCTGAATGATGGAGAAATACTGACCTCTGCTGGACAAAAGTAGGATTTTTATATGTTTGATACATGTATTGTCTGCAAGTTGTTATTATTATTATTAATTATTAATAATAAAAAAGTAAAATGTCCCATTTGACTCGAATTTAAAGAATTGTAAATTTGCTTTTTTATTGTATATGCTGTGGAATTTATTTGGACTTTTATTATTGAGTCGAGTGATTAAACCACTTGTTGAGTTAGTAAGGGACCTTTCAAAAAAGTAATAACATACTTTATACATATGCAAAAAAATGCTATTTTTAGATTCTGCTGTATACTATATTACCGCCCAAGGCTAGTTCCTTTTATTTTACAATGCTAGTTAAAGATGAACAACATGTACATTTCATCAAAACTAAAACACAGTAAAAACTGTTAAGACATTTAAAATATCACGATAAATCGGTCCATTTTTTTTAAAACCGGACATGTTTGAATAAAAACACACATTTAAATCATGTTATTTCCACTGATAATGTTTGTATGTGCACACTTTGCCTTAAAATATTAACATAAAAACTCCAACTATACCTATTGTTGCTGTATGTCTTTCAAATTTGAGGTAAAATGAATGACAAATGCTTGAAGTTAGTTATATATGTTAAAGGTACTAATTGACTATTAAAAGGGACTTTTATTATGCAACAAAATCACTATAAATGCAATAAAATCATCATGAATTAAATTATGCAAGAAAATACCTTTTATAAGTGGTTTAAACACAGTTGTGTGACAACATTAAGTAAACATAGCCAGCATCTGATGATCAAATTTGATTAATTTGTACATTTTTATAATCAGACATGGTTTCCTTTACATTCATTCTTCCAGGGCAGGGCGCCACGCCAAAATTCATCCCGCCACGGCTACATTACAGCTTCTTATTCAAAATATTCGGTCGTTTTTTAAAGTAGTGGGTTAAAATTGCACCGAAAACGTATAAAAAGGTAATGAATAATAACAGCGCAAACTTTTCTGTGACAGTAGTAGTGCTGTGCGTGCTGTTTAACCCCTTAAGGTGATGTGCTGGCTGACTTACTGACTGACAGGTGCATGATGCGTGAGGCCAACAAACACGGCGTAGCTTTCAATTATTTATGAACACATAAACGCACTAAATCACACTTCAGCCGCGTTTATTTGAAGGCGCACAAGAAAATCTGCACTTCAGCAGCGTATATTTCAGGGCGCACAAGAAAATCTGCACTTCAGCAGCGTATATTTGAGGGCGCACAAGAAAATCTGCACTTCAGCAGCGTATATTTGAGGGCGCACAAGAAAATCTGCACTTCAGCAGCGTATATTTGAGGGCGCACAAGAAAATCTGCACTTCAGCAGCGTATATTTGAGGGCGCACAAGAAAATCTGCACTTCAGCAGCGTATATTTGAGGGTGCACAAGAAAATCTGCACTTCAGCAGCGTATATTTCAGGGCGCACAAGAAAATCTGCACTTCAGCAGCGTATATTTGAGGGCGCACAAGAAAATCTGCACTTCAGCAGCGTATATTTGAGGGCGCACAAGAAAATCTGCACTTCAGCAGCGTATATTTGAGGGCGCACAAGAAAATCTGCACTTCAGCAGCGTATATTTCAGGGCGCACAAGAAAATCTGCACTTCAGCAGCGTATATTTGAGGGCGCACAAGAAAATCTGCACTTCAGCAGCGTATATTTGAGGGCGCACAAGAAAATCTGCACTTCAGCAGCGTATATTTGAGGGTGCACAAGAAAATCTGCACTTCAGCAGCGTATATTTCAGGGCGCACAAGAAAATCTGCACTTCAGCAGCGTATATTTGAGGGCGCACAAGAAAATCTGCACTTCAGCAGCGTATATTTGAGGGCGCACAAGAAAATCTGCACTTCAGCAGCGTATATTTGAGGGCGCACAAGAAAATCTGCACTTCAGCAGCGTATATTTGAGGGCGCACAAGAAAATCTGCACTTCAGCAGCGTATATTTGAGGGCGCACAAGAAAATCTGCACTTCAGCAGCGTATATTTGAGGGCGCACAAGAAAATCTGCACTTCAGCAGCGTATATTTGAGGGTGCACAAGAAAATCTGCACTTCAGCAGCGTGTATTTGAGGGTGCACAAGTAAATCTGCACTTCAGCAGCGTGTATTTGAGGGTGCACAAGTAAATCTGCACTTCAGCAGCGTATATTTCAGGGCGCACAAGAAAATCTGCACTTCAGCAGCGTATATTTGAGGGCGCGCAAGAAAATCTGCACGTTAGCAGCGTATATTTGAGGGCGCACAAGAAAATCTGCACTTCAGCAGCGTATATTTCAGGGCGCACAAGAAAATCTGCACTTCAGCAGCGTATATTTCAGGGCGCACAAGAAAATCTGCACTTTAGCAGCGTATATTTGAGGGCGCGCAAAAAGTTTTGTGCACGAACAGAGGAAATCGGCGCTCAAGCAGAAATTTACATGCTCGTAGGCTATTGCATGAATCCGATCTCGACTTAATACTGCGCCCATAACATGTCATTAATGAAATAACGCCACATGTAGTGGTAGATCTTTGTAAAATGGCCAACAGAGTCTGCCGCCACAACTGGAAAAAATCCAAGAGGAAACACTGTCAGACTTGATAAAAACATAAAATTTGATTGTCATTTTCCATTTGTACGTGTCATCAGAAGGGGAAAGCCCCGCCTACTAATGTCCTATCCTACTCATTAGCATAGGACATTAGTCTTGTTGAAGCTGCCACTATGCTGACACAGGCATTTATAGCTCCGCCCTCTTCTGAAAAGAGCACTTTCTCATTTGAATTTAAAGCGACAGCTAACCAAAACAGCACAATTAGAATCAAAGCCTAAAAGGGTCAGTTTCAGAGAGTTAGAAAACATTATCTGTGTGATATTTTGAGCTGAAACTTCACACACACTTACACACTCAGAGACTTACTTTACATCTTGTAAAAAGGGGCATACACTGGAAAAAAATTATTTAAAGATGATTCCTTGGATTTACCCAATTTTTTTTTACATTAGGTGGTTGTAAACAATTTATTTGTGTTGAATTTAAACAAACAAATTAAGTTGAACATTATTACATTTCATTTGCTTGTTTAAATTCAACACAAATAAATTGTTTGCAACATTTTTTTCACTAGGTCCCCTTTAACTAAACGCGTGATGAAACACACTTGTCTTGTTTTTCAACAGTAACACACTCATGTGGACACGCCGAGTGGTGTTTCTGCATTCATTTTCAGGTTGTCAGGCTGTCGGTGAGCAACTGATGGCTCTCCAGAGCGTTCATTACAGCATTAATGATGGACACTAGCAGGAAAACGCAGTGGAAACGTCCAGCTGATGAACAATAGAGCACAGCAGAGGGAGAGGCCCTTCACTTCACTACTGGCCCCGTTCATTACACTCAGAGGAAAGACCCCCGACAGCTTCCTCTTCCTCACACAGAATCATCCAAAATAGAAGACGAAGACAAAAAATAGGCTATTATATTCATCAGAAAAGGTGCTTCCAAGAGCAGAGCATTGGAATATATTCAAGAACAGTGTTAATCAGTGTAACTAATTATGGTAATTCAATGATTGAAAAGTGAATGGATCACTTTTCATTGTAGATCATTTAATTACAGGTATAAGTGCTTAAACGTTTTGTGAAATGCTTTGAAACGTGCATTTCTTTATACAATGTTTGATGTAATCTCAACCTAAACATGGAGAGGGAGGGGCATATAGTCATAGATCAGTACATCTTCATTAGACAGTGACTCACTCTGGTAATCGGTGTATGATTCAGCATCATATATTAATAGAGTGTCTGCTTCCTCATCCACAGATAAGAGCTGCGACTCGACTTTATTCTCTAGAACTTCAACAAGTGTTTGAGGACATGCAGTGTTGAGATCTCTCATATATTTGGGTCCATGGGTTGGCTTTAACGTGGATAATGCATTCAAATCTAAGTATTATTCTCACATATAGCGGGTCTATTTGTGCTTACAGAATCAGTTAGCATGTTATTGCTCTATTTACATAGTATTCATTAATTAAATAAAAGATCTGAATTTTTTAAGAATATTTTTTTCACTAATGAGAAATTTTCTTTTTTGACTTGTCAAAGATTAGATCGCATGCAAAATAAAAGTTCATATTATTATATTTTAAAATTTGTGCATACTGTTTATGTTTTGGTACTAGTATAAACAAATATTTTATACATTATAGTCAAGCATAAATTGCATTTCATTTGTATATTTTTGTATTTTATGTATAGTATTTGTGTGTATTTGTATACAGTATACAGTTGAAGTCAGAATTATCTGCCCACCTGACTTATCAGCGCCCCTGTTTAATTTTTTCGCCCAATTTTTTGTTTAATGGAGGGAAGATTGTTTCAGCACATTTCTAATTATAATAGTTTTAGAAACCTATTTCTAATAACTTATTTACTTCATCTTTGTCATGATGACAGTAAATATTATACCTGATATTTTTCCTGAAATTCTTCAAGACACTTCTATACAGCTTAAAGTGACATTTAAAGGCTTCACTAGGTTAATAAGGTGACCTAGGCCGGTTAGGGTAATTAATTAGGAAAGTTATTGTATAACGATGGTTTGTTCTGTAGACTATCGAAAAAAAAATAGCTTAAAGGGGCTAATAATTTTGTCCCAAAATTGTTTTTTTTTCTAAATAAAAACTGCTTTTATTCTAGTCAAAATAAAACAAATAAGACTTTCTCCAGAAGAAAAAATATTATCAGACACACTGTGAAAATTTCCTTGCTCTGTGAAACATCATTTGGGAAATATTTAAAAAAAGAAGAAAAAAAAATCAAAAGGGGGCTAATAATTCTGACTTCAACTGTACATAAATATACACAGTAGGCATGGGTCGGTATAAGATTCTCACGGTATGATAACCTTGGGTTAAATATCACGGTTTCACAATATCATAGTATTAGGATTACTGCTCTAAAATATATTATTTTTAAACGTCTACATAAAAAACAAAAACTTTTTTCCCTTTTTTGAACACAGTATATTTAATTTTGAGAAATATTTAAAATATTTTGGAGCAGTAAACGTGTCAGGCTAAATGAATCATTGACTATATATAAAAAATAAAAAAAAAACGCTCTAGGGTAAGCTCAAATGTATGGTCAGTGCTCTTTGGGTAAGGGATTCATCAAATCTGCAACAAGAATCAGTCCANNNNCTTAATTTGTTTAAAAAACAGATCTTTTTAAAATTGAAAACAGTATATTTTCTGCAGGAGATACTGCTGTCTTAAAAAAAACAAAACAAAACAAAACTGTATATAAAAATTCATACACATACGTTAGGAACGGTACTGCAGAAGATTTTGACGGTTTTAAAACCTTGACTTTTCCAAACCGCGGTATACCTATAAAACAGTTATCATCCCATGCCTAATACACAGTAAACACATTTGTTATGTAAATACAAACTTTTATCTTGGATGTGATTAATTTGATTAATCGTTTAATCGTTGCATTAATGTTTTTCTTTGATATTTTCTACACATTAAAAAATACTTCAACACATATTATTGGGTATAAACTCAAATGTTGGGTTATATTTTGTCCTATACATTTCATTTTAAAACACGTACTATATTAATATAAATACCCAGATTTAGGCTGAAATAACAGCATTTTTTCAATGTAATAATTATTGGTTAAACACACTGAAATAAATTGAATTTCATTAAAATTACTTTGAATTTAAAACTTACAAATGATCAAAAATAGTCCAGATAACCTGCATATTTATTTCAAACATCAACACAATAGAAAGGTTTTTAAAATAGATAAACTTATTTAAATGAATTATTTAGATGAAAAAGCCGTCAATGTTTCATGCTGTATTGGTTAAATGTGTTTTTAAAATAGGGAAAAGATCAAATATATTAAATCTTTTAATTATTCTGAAACTAAATTAAAGAAATCGTGGGTTAAACGTGTACAAAGCCAACTGTTGAATAATAGTGGGGTTAACAGATTTATTATATATAAATAAATTTGACCCAGCAGTACATATATTAGCCAAATTCAGTTTGAAATAACCCAGCACTCTTTTTTTTTTTTTTTTTTACAGTGGGCTTTAACTAATAAACGTATGAATGAAATAACAAAAAACTATATATAATTTTTTAACCCACATTTGGGAAAATGTTGATAATCAAACCTCCAAAAGGTTGCAAGTACAATTTTTACATTTTGCATTTTATATTGAAATTAGATATATTTATTTTATTTGTCTACATTCTTAATAAAGCATTTGCTCTGAAGCTTTAAAAGTGAGAAAAAGTATATTTTGACATTTAAAATCCTTAATTTAAAGTCCTGAGGTCAATATTTATTGAATTCTTATTCTTAAAAACTACTCATATGAGTTTTAGGAAATTTGTCATTGTCTATTTATTTAATGATTAAATTAGTTTATTGCCATGTTGCAAGTGCTGAAAAGCCCCAAACTTCAGATTTAAAGATCAGTAATTTTATAAAGGTGTATTTTTGCACTATTGTTAAATCTATCAAATGTTCACTGAACGTCTAAATTTAGCCGTGTTTCAGCCAAGATGTCTATTAGATGTCTTTTAAAGACAAAATGGCATGGTGGGATGTTTTAGAAGGAGATGCTGCATCTGAAATGTGTATTTCAAGAAATTTCTGTCTTCAAGCCGCTACGTCTGACAGATCGCACTGTTATATTTTTATTTTCTTTGACATTTTTTAAAACCTGTTTGAACACATTTTAACCTGATTAATTATTTTTATTATCTTATTCACCTTATTCTTCGCCAAGGAGCCATTTGAATCTTTTTGGCTCAAGACTCCCGGTCTCATTTACTGTAATTCATTTTTTTTAGACATTAAAAACTGCTCGTTTCGCTGTTTGATGTTGCAAACTGATATTTCATCATTATATTATTCTACTTGGTCTGTATAGTCATGCACACATTTGTTTGTAGAGCAAGTAGTTTGACCGTTTTCTCACGTTTATTATTCCTAGTCATTTCTCCCATAGGCGACTGAATCGGGAGTTCTAAAACAATCACGGAAACAGGCGCTCTTCCGCATTTTAGAATAAGGTCAATACTTGTGTCTTTATTCCTGTTTATGTAAAGCACTTTGAATTACCGTGTATAAAATGTGCTATATAAATAAACAATAGAGGTAAAATTGGTTTTATATTCGGATATTCAGACATTCTCCTTAATAATATAATTTCAGAAAAGTATTCTTTGAAAATTGTAAATAGCGAAATCATATTAGCAGCAAATGACCACCAAAGTACAATATTGTTCACAGTGAATTAGATTGTGTTAATGTTGTTTAGAAGTCACACTTGCATGCTAATTCCGATCAAATATTCAAAGTAACATGGTAAACAATACAGAGACTTCTAAATGAACGAATTTGCGAATATAAAACCAACTTTACCTCTATAAATAAACATGCCCTGCTTCTTTTTATTCCTGTATACACAAACTAATAACTGACTAAAGTTACATAAAAATATACATAAACGAATAACTGACTGGAGTTACATAAAAAATAATGATTCACGTAATTATCGCGATATAATGGTTTGTATCGTTATCGCGATATGGTATTTTTGTCATATCGACCAGCTCTACCTGTTGCCATGTATACTGAGCAACAAAGCAGATCCTGAAGATGAGGGGGGAAAAAACATTAGAGAAGACTGGCACACTGCAGGATGAAGTCAACGTTATTTTGATAACATGATCTCATTGTGAGGTGAACTGGAAGTGTGTTTGTCCACACCAAACAATAAAACACTATTGTAGTACTCCTGAGGGGAAAAACAAACAATTACCCAGTGTCTCATGTTATCAAGCTCAAGTGTTAATATCATATCATATCACGCACGAATTGAAGCTCATATGAAATCTGTATGTGTGCGTGTGTGTTGTCTATTACACACACACACACACACACACACACACACACACACACACACACACACACACGTTGTCCTCTCACACAAACTCATAATAATGAGGACTCACCGAACACATGGATGGCCATTGCAGACAGTGATTCAGCCGGACAAAGAAGACAAATAAACAATGACCCGCCTTAAATCCTCACAGCTTTTCCATACAGAATGCAGCCGGTTATATGACGGATAACGTCAAACTGTAAGGACGAGAGGTTTTGGAGAATTGCCCGGTGTCTGAATCCTGTATAAGCGATGTGTTACAGGCGGTTGCAGATCAACTTTAACAGGGACAACTAAACGGTGAGCGCCGGGAAACGGGGAGAGGTGAGCGGGGTTTGCGGCGGATTTTCACCGCCTGCTGATGCGTCGAGCGCGGTGTGTATTTTCGCTGCAGGTCTGGAAGTCTGGAGCGCAGATTCACTCCTTGCATCCCAGCATTGAAGTCGCCATCTTGTGAGACCACATGACCTGACACACACATACACACACACACACACACACACACACACACACTCGCGCGCGCTCTTTTTCCTCTGGACTGCAGCCTCCTCATGGCGCGTTTCTATGGAGACACACTCATGATAGTGATGATGATGCTGTGTTATGAGCTTTTAAGTGAGGTAAAGTTGGTTTTATATTCGAACATTGGTTCATATTTAACTGACACACTGTCTATATGGTGCTTTGAATATTCGATCTGAAATCGCATGTAAATATGACTTTAAAACAACATCAGCACCGTGTATTTGACTGTGAACAATGTTGTAGCCTACTTTGATAGTGTTTGGCTGCTCTTATGATTTCACTATTTAGAGTTTGCAAATAATACTTTTCTGAAGTGATATTACTAATGGGGAAGTCTGCGTGTGCGAATATAAAACCAACTGTATCTCAATGAGTTCATAATGTGAAGAATTCATAAACTTTTTGGACTGAAAATACAGAAATAAGTCGGTAAAGGGATACAGCCGAGGATACCCACATGATTATAGCATCATTTTTGTGACACTGTACAAAAATAATTAATACTGTTACATTACTGCAGTCTGCAAGGGTTGGGTTTAGGGTTTAGACGTTAATAAATTACAATTGAATGGGTAATTTAATATATGTGCATACATACATATATATACATATATTAAATTACCCATTAATTGTA